GGCTGCCCAGGGAAGTGGTACAATCACAGTCCCTGGAAGTATTCAAAAAACATGTGGATGTGGTGCTTAGGGACATGGTTTAGAGGTGGAACAGGCAGTTAGGTTAACAGGTTGGGCTCAATGATCTCAGAGGTCCTTTCCAACTTTAAGCATTCTATGATTCTGTGATCTAGAAATGCCCCCATGGGTGGAAATCAGGCTGCTGACGTGACAGCAGTGCCAGTTGTTCCGTCACCACCCCTTCAGCATGCAATATGCCACTTGTGTCTGAGAGCTCCTGCTTGTCTCTATCTTGCAGGCTTCCCAAATAGCGGCAGTGCCTAGTGTCACTTGAACCCTCCAGTCCCTCTGCCAAGCTAACTGGACACAAGCTGTTCTCAAAACAGAATGACCTCTTTGTTTTTATCAGTGGTATCTCAATAAAGTACAGGTTTAGGTTTAATTTCCCTGTGTTTGTGTGACATTCTACCCCACTGATCGAAAGAGGATCTTCCCCTGTGAAGGATCCTCCACCTGTAGGCATTAAGCTACAGGCTGAATTTTCAGCAGCAGTCCCCAACTGAAATATCGCAAATTCCAAGTCCTGACCCCTCTTCAACACCTCCCTGTGGAAGTGATCCCCAACCATATTGCATCCACCTCCACTCCTACGGACAAGGGTCTTGGGACCCTTTCTCCCTTTCTGGTCCTCAGGTGTCTAACACCCACTGTGAGGGCATGCACAGATCAACTTGAGCAGAGGCTGCGCTGGAGCACAGAGGGTCAGACCTCTGACTCCATCCCACACCCTTCAGCATGAGGGTGTTTGGAGGGCAGTGACTAGTCAAACAAAACACAAGCTTTGCTATGGCAACATGGGTTACAAAGCTGCTGATGGAGCCACGCTACAGCAACTGTTCAGAAGAGAAATTAGATCCCGGTTCTGAACACTCTGCAAGAAGGTGCCTGCTAACGCAAACACTAATGAAGCCAGAAAGTTAAACTCTTCCATAACTGCATGGCCCTCAGTGGAGATGTCACTGCTGCTAGTAGGTCCTGTTTTTAAAATGTTACGCTCCTGAACAGTACAAAACTATTAAGAGTAAGGAAAACTGGATCTGAAACACATTACTGCTGCTGCTGTCATGACATTTAGTGCCACAGCATTGCCTATGATGGTGGCAGCACATTTCACAAGGCTGAGCAGGATCACTTACTGCAGACCAAATGTAAACTGAATGAGTCCCAAGCAGGACAGAACTGCACTCAGTACTGGAATTGAATGGGGCTTGAAAAATACAATTGTAATCCAAGTACTACTTGAATCTGATGCAATGGAAGGAAGCAAAGTGGCTCCTTCAGGTCTCATCTTTTGCAGATACTACAAAAGCATGCACTAGGTGCGTGGTAATTTGAGAAAGCTATTGCAGGCTCTTTCTTCAGGAAGCAGTTCCGTCTTGTTGCATCCAGCCTAAACTTGCAAAGGATGTTTCACCAAGATGAAATTTGAACCACTGTGTATTATCTAGATTTCTAAAGAAACACCTCTGGTTGTGATGATCTATTGGCATACAGGCATGGTAGAGTCAAGGCAGTTTTGTCTGGAGATGGATCAGGTGGCTTAGAAGGTCTTAAAGCGCTCTGAGACATTTCAGGGCATTGCTACATGCTGATTCAATAACTCCTTCGTTGATGGAGATGTGGCTGTTGCAACACCAAGGGTCACTTCAGCCTCTATTATGGGATGCTGCAGATGAGGGTAGCAGAAGCTCTGACCTGCTGACCACTGAGTTGGGTGGCTGATTTTTTGCCCAGAGAGTGGTGTTTTGGACACATTATTAGTGCTTTCCCGTACTGACAAAGCCCAGACATGGAAGAACTATATGGTTGTGCTATGACACTGTGTGAGCAGAGAGAAAAAGTGAATGCAATTGAGCCACGCAACAGTGAAAGAATAGCAAGTTTTGAGACACCAGCTCCACCTTGGGGCCATGTGGGACATGATTTACCTGACCAAAGAGATACAGTAAAGCCAGGTGAAGATGTCAGCCCAGAACCTCCCACAGAGACTCCAAAGAACGCACTGGGGAGGCATGTTGTCCTAAGCCCAAAGCTGCTTCTTGTGAAAGTGAAGGAAGCATGTTTCTTAAGAACTGATTCTTGGAAGGGGATGTCCATCACACCATGTCCCCAGGACTGTCAGCCCTCATAGAGAAATACGTGATGTTCCCGTGAGAAACCCTTCCTTCCTCAGAGACCATGGTTATTCCAGGAAAGGGAGAAGCTCATGTGCCCAGTTGCCTTCATCCTGGGCTCATGTGTTTGGTTGCCTTTACCTGGCAGTGTTCAGAGCTTGGCCTTGAGCATGGGGTGCTCAGGGCTTGTCACTATTCCACACAAATGGAAACTTTGTTTAGTGGCTGACTGGGATGGGGATGGTCCACAACTGGCTCCCTGTGGCTGCACATCTACTCCCACAAGAAGAGACCACTGTCACTTCCCCAGCCAGGACTGGGGGTAAGTCACAGCCTGACCCTAGGGCACCAATTCACAGAGCAGCATGCACAAGGGAAATAAGCCAGGAGCATCATGTCATGTCTGGCTTGGTCTGTGGAGCTGCCCATCTGTGTGAGCACACAAAGTCATGCCAAAAGCAGGGCCAGAGACCAAGGCTGTAGTATTTCTGCCCCTGCCTCCTCCCTGGTGCTCTCTAGCCCTTTTGTGAGGTCCTTGCAAGGACCAGTTCATGTGCCAGAGTGCATTTTTATCTCACTGTTGTGAGGCGGTGCATGGGGACTAGTCCCTTGACTTTGAACAGCTTCAGGACACAGCATGGTTTTGAAATAACAGCAAGCCACCAGGCTACCTGGTACAGAAGAGGGTGCTGTGCTGTCTCAAATGGAAGGAAACTTCATGTGAGTTTTATTAAGTGAGAGAGCCAAAAGTGCTGCACTCATTTGTAGTAATAATGTTTGTTGAACAAATCAAGAGCTTACAGGCTGCCTGGGAATGCTGGCTAAAGACCTCAGGACAAAACCCTGAGGTGGCTGTGATCAACTGGAGGGAAACTAGCTCTGTTTGCCAGGGTGTCTGCCCCATTCTGCAATGGCATTTGCACAAAATGGATATGGAAGAACACTCAGTGGAAGCCTGGTCTTTAGAAAGCCATTGACAAAACTGCTTTAGAGCCAATTACCTGGTGATTGTTTCAGGAAAAGGTTAAGTTTGAAGGAATACAGGATTTTTCTTTAAACTGTCTTGCGCAGTTGAAAGAAACAGGTATTCTTTAAGGTCCCCAGACATAGCCACTAGCCTTGGTTTTGCAATGGGTGGGCTGCCAAGACAGCAAACATCAAAACCACGTGGGAAGGGGAGTAATCATAGCCATCCGACTGTTCTGTGTTTCAGATGGGATTCATACGCTCACCTGCGCCCTGATGCTGCTAAACACAGACCTTCATGGCCATGTAAGTAGTACTTGGAGGTGCATTGTTCCTTTTTTCCTTCCCAATATAGAGGTCTGTCCCCTTATGCAGGATTTGTTGCTGGAAAATTGAGATAGGTTGGCAGAGAGTACTCTGACGACCTCCAGAGGGAATTTTGGGTGCCATGCCCAGACCTGGGGACAGTCCTCTTAGTGTCACTCCACACTCAAGCCAAAGGCGTATCTCCTGCTGACATCAGTTATCTTATACAGGCACAGGCAATGCAGCTTTCTTCCCAGGACCTGTTGCATGCATCAGCCCTGTCCCAGGAGCTCTCATAGAGAGGTCTTCACCACCAGTCTCTGTGGAGCTAGCAAAAAGCAGCACCAATTGTGCTGCTATTTCTTGTGGTGCAGACACCTAAGGCTCCCCTCATCCCAGAAACTGCTGCAAGGGAGTCAGTGGTTTCATACAGGTCTAGATTTGATCTTTGCTTCCCAAAACATGAAGTAAGTCCAAGCATTGCCTTTTCCCCAAGATGTAACAGACAGCCACTGGAGAGTTTCGTATCAGAGAGGCCTCTGGACAAAGAGTAGGATGAGCAGAGCTCAGTGCCCAAAGGTGTGGTCGGAAAACAGCAGAGGGTGTTGAGAAGATCTCTCACCTCCTTTTAGAGGCTTTTTCAGGCAGCATAGGTTGGATTTGTTCCTAAAAGGTGAACCAGAGTGTAGAGAGGAGAGCAGAGTGGGAGGAAAAATAACTGCAGAGGGGAGATGGGACTGGGCATAGGGGATAGCACTGGGACATTGTGTACCCTTGGAGACCCCTGTCATAGCATACATCTGGGAGTATGCATGGACTCTGTGCCCTGCTCAGTGCTGTGGAAGGCTGTAGGCACCATTGACCCAGATCTCCTCCCTGCTCTCCAGCCTTATTGTACAGGCATAGGGCATGGCTGTAAGCCTCAGGGGGCTGTGCCCCCTTTACAGGGGTAGAGGGGCTCCTCAAGTCTCAGGTCACTGCAGTACCTTCTTTCATAGCTCCTCTGAGAGCTCAGACCTGGAGCCACAGACTCCCCCAAGCTTGTGTGAAGGTGGAGGGGGCATGGGAGGGTGGCATGTTATAGTAGCCTATGCATGTGAAACCTACATGCCCTTTTTCTGCCCCACAACCCCATGATTTTCAAGCTGTATCATCAGAGTCCTCTTTTGCTTCCAGCTGGTAACAATTTGTTGTGCATCTGCAGAGACTTGCCCTGATTTTCTCTTCATTCGCCTGTTAATGAGGGGACAGTAGGCCATAACCTAGCTCTTTTTTTGTGTACTGGTTTATAATCACCTGTAAGAGGAGCCTTTTTCTGTGAGGGTGGGAAGATGAGAGACATTATAGGAGTGCTCTTCACCTATGATGGCAAAGATGCAAAGGCAACCAGCATCACTGTTGTCATCCTGACAGTCCACCTGGGAGACCCTCCCCATCATTACAGCACAGATACTGCCTTCGTAACAGTGGCAAGGTTTGAGCATAGCAGCCAGTGAAGGAATTACTGGTCTCAGCAAAAGCATCCTTTCCAGATGTGCACTGTGGCCTTCACTAAGCTGGCTACAGCTGCTGCAGCCTCATCCTTTGGGGAACTGGCAGCCTATGACCAACGTTACACTGGCCACTGGGTCCATTCCCACCCACGTGTCTGCCAGTGACATGTCTAGGCAAAGTGTCTCTGCATGCGGTGGGATAGCAGTGGGGACACCTTCTGGGAGGGACTCACATAGCATTCATCCTTCAGCTAAAATGATTGGAGCCAATGAAATATTTTCATCAAAGTATTTCCTGCAACAGCAAAAGAAACATTGTGGCAGAAGGCAAACTATGCAACTTCACTCTAAAATAATCTTATTTTGTCTATTTTTTTTAATTTAAAAAAAATCCAAAATATGTCTCTGGGAAGACAGAAATTTTTGAAAAGGCAAAAAAACCCCTAACCTCCAAAACCTTACCATTTCTATTTTTCATTGACAAGCTGGCTAAGAGGCCTGGTAAGAAGAAATGATCTCATGGTATCTAGGCAAAGAAAAAAAATAGCTTTCTTTTGAGCAGGTGTAGAAATGCCTGAGCTTTTCTTTGAAAAATCTTCTCTTTATTTTTTCTCATGTGTAACATTAATTTCTTCTTCTCCTTCTCCTCCTTTTTTTTTTCCTTCCTTCTGCTCCTGGAACCTCTCTTTCTGCTCTTTAACCCTTTACCAGGTGGTAAGTGCAGTCATTCTAGTGTTTTTCTTTAAAGCACTGGCATTTGACTTGTTTTTTTCTGTGTTAAAAAAAAAAAAAAGGACTTTTGTTTGTCTGGATTCCTAAGTGGCTGTGCAGTGTCCTTCACTACTAAGCAACCCATTATCACCTGATATGCATCACATGAAATTCTCCTTCTGTAAAGAAACCTCCATAAACTGCAGTGTACCTGGGACTGTGTGACTTGATCTCTCACCCCTTTTTGTTAAAGATGCTGTCATGATATTGCCTATCACTTTTTATTTTATTTTATTTTATTTTTTAATATTGTGTGTGTTTCAGTGTTTTACTGTGCATTGCCATGGAGTGGGAAATTCCTTTGATTAGGAAAGGGTGGCTGATGTGTCTCTCTAAAGGGGCAGTTCCCTGCAGCAGTGTCTCTAGAATGGGCTAGTTCACCATTCCAGCAGTGACCATCACATATACTGAGTCCAGGCTTAAAAGTAATGAGACTGGCTTTAAAACATGAGATTTGCACCTGGCCACACTGGAGTTTTGCCTTAGTACTGTTGATTTTCTACCACAGGTGCACTCAGACCCTGTTACCAAACTGTCCAGAAAACTTACTATCTTTAAAATGAGACACTCCATTTTCATAGAATCACCTGGAACTGCTGTTTGAAAGCCAGCAGTCACCAACAAACATTACAAGCCTTGTAGTATAATTCAGGTTGTTGCAACTCTCTAACTTGCTCTGCTGTTGCTGTTTGAGCTCCAGGAGATCTTATGACAAAGTACTCCTCTGCTCCATTTCTGCCCCTTGGAGACAAAGCTTTGGGATGTCTCCTTTTCAACTGTCAGTGTTATCCCTCCTTGTTCAGAACTGCTGGCCATGGAAGGACAGTGACAAATCAACACCTATGCCTCACCAGTACTCATGGTTGCATTTTGGTACTTTAGCAAAGCCCAGCTTCTGGAGTCACGTTGTAATGTGACAAGCTTCAGCATTTGTTCAAAAAGCAGGCCAGCAGCTCTCATGGCCACTGAACAAAGCTTGAAATGGGATCCCTGGCAGCTCCTAACTCCACATATCCATCGCTATTAATCTTACAAACCCTGTGATATTCTCCTTACGTCAAGCTTATGGTTTGGTATTAGCAATACTGCTGTGTTAGTAGCACTGGAAGAGCTGAAGAGCTCTGAGATATGAGCAGCCACTGGCATCACCAGCAGAGTGATACCAGTCTGCCCACAGCAGCTTTGTGTGGCCCAGGGGTCATTGATACTCAAAGTTTGCGTGTTTGCTCCGTGCAGTGGGGTAATTTTGTTTCTGCAGCCTAGAACATATCTGTTACCAGATCCCTTGGTCCAGTCAGACCAATGACTCCCACTTCATGCTGAAGCATAAATGTAGTTGTTTGGGTTTTTTCTCCTGAAGATTAATATTTGGAAGAGGTCAAAAAAGCCTGAGTAAAAGCAGGGCCTGCTAGGGGCATGATGCTCATGCTGGGGAGCTCACAGGAGATGTACCCCACTCACCACTTTGCAGCAGAGATGTTTGATGCCTGGAGCCTCCAGCCCAGAAACTCAAGTGGTTTAACACCTCACAGAGGGAGTGCTGGGGAGAGCACCCCAGATAGGCACCCTTCATGGCCTCTGGCCCCCAGGAACCTGATTCTCCTCCTGGGGCTTTCACATGTCACCTGCTTTTCCCACTGAGCACCTAGTTCCATACTCATCTGCCCAGCCTCCTAATGCTGGGACTTGGCAACAGCCAAGGAATGCCAGGCTACAGTCCAGAGTCTTCTGGAGGTGGATAGAGCCACCCTGGACACTTCAGAAGATGGTCTGCGATCATCTTGGGTGAATCACCTCAGTAGCAGATGGCTGAGGCCCAGAGGAGGCAAGAACCCAACTGTAAACAGGGGAGTTACAGTGGGTTGAAACAATGGGATAGCAGGATCAGCCCTGACTACCCACTATCAGATCAGTCTCATCCTTCCTATTTTATTCTTATGCACTCTAACCACCATCATGCACCTTGTCTCTGCATCTTTCCCTTCTCATAGACTGCCTGCATCCATCCACCTCCGTCCATCCATTCCCATACTGTCTCTGCCTATCATCTAACTATCTCTACCTGTCATCGAACCATCCATCCCTTCTCATCTATTTAATCCACTGTTTGCTCACTCGCTCTCCATCCAAGCACACTATGGTGCTAGCTGATTGTCTGACAGTGATTTCTCATGCTTTGCTGCATGGCCTAGAGCAAGCAAAGATGGAATGAAGTTCTTTTCTGCCAGGGGGACATATCAGGAATAGTAGCCACGTGTGGCTGTGAAGCAGCCTCACTGGCTTGGTCTATTGCTGGTAAGTGACTGATGCCCCACAGAAAAGCAAAATGCCACTATCTGTGTGGCTGGCCAGTAATGAAGATGCATCTCCCTACCCAGAGGTCCCAGTTCAGCAAGGGACATAGAACATCTGAACACTGTAGCTTTGAAGTGTGCAGATACATTCCCCTAAAGATTATGTCCACATGTGATCAGCAAGATGGCCTGCTGCATAAGAAGGCACCCACTGAGCCCTTTCCAGAGTTGTTCCGGGGATTCCCCATACTTGCTAAACACTGTTGCAGTGTGTGAAAGCTCAGGCAGTCCCTGGTGCTGGTGTTGATGCTGGTGCCATTGATAATGGGGCACTTGTGATCACAGAACTGTTTTCTTTGCAAGTGTTGATCATATGAAGCTGCAAAGTCCGTGTCCTGGAGTGTTTTTTTGTTTTCTCTATTCAGCTGGTGTTGACTTGGAGGCACTTGCAGGGCTTGTATTTGAGTGGCTGGCTCCAGCCCATTTCTCAAAGCACCAAGCTGAAGTGTTAAGGTATTGTTGACCTGAGGTTGTATTGCATCTGAGCCACCCCAGCATCCTGTACTCAGTCCTACTGACAGCCAGCCTGAATCCTGTCCCTGACTCTGCAGTGCTTCGACAACCTTGTCCAACAAACTGATTCACGGTATTAGCATCCTTGCTGGAGCTTTCTCGTCATCTCTTCTGGTTGTCAGAGAAAGGGTATGTTTTCATCCTTCTCAATTGCTCAGCAATTAGCTGCTTTTCCACAGTGTGGCTGCTGTCTCAGTTTGAGCTCAGAGATCTCCTTGCGCAAAAGAAAGAGACAGATCACAGAATAAAAAAGAAGCCATCCCCTGGGATTAATGTATGTCCTGGACTCAATACGCAAGAAACCCAAAGAAGGGCCTGCGAGGCTGGTAACTTGTGCCACTTTATCTCACTGTATCCACTCACTTCCTAAAATGTGTTGGCCTCTGCATTCATTGCTGGATCACTGCAACAAGATCTCTGTAGGCAGAAAGACCTGTGCTCTGCACTCTGCTTTCCTGCCTCAAGGTAGGGGTAGAAGTAGTCACCTTCTCTCTGTGCAAAGTGATTTGGTGCCTCAAGGTGTCAGGCAACATAGCTACCTCATCTCCAAACTCCCTCCCTCGTGGAGGTTCATTACTGCATTTTTAATGTGCTCTCTCTCACCCTCCTTCCTTTCTCCATCCACATGCCATTGTGCTGCTGGCTTTTTTTTTTTTTTTTTGGCTGTAATTCCTAAGCCAGCAAGTACACAAAACTCTCTTCCCTCTGCTGAAAAAACCTAGCATGTCTGCAGGTTTCCCCACAGCTCTTCTGCAGCTAGTGTACCCACTGAGCACTAGCTGGCAGTTGCCTCTGGCTATGGGGTCCAGTTATGGGCATCAGCCGTGGGGCTCCCCTGTGAAAAAGCAAAGATGGCCAAGTCTCATGTTGTGCCACATTGTGTCCCCAGGCACTGCAGATTTGTAATAGTGCTTTATTCCTCTTTTTCTTGATCTCTCAAGGGTGCCAGCTCATCTGGAGCTGGCACCGACAGGAGGCATACTTAAGAGTATCAGACAGAGCTACTCAAAGGCAGCGCTGGCTCCCTGTGTAGCCAAAGAGTATGTGTGCACACACAGATGGCAGTTGGCGGGGGTAGGGCATTGTGGACTAATCTCAAGGCCTCACTCTTTACTGATGCTTTCACTTGGGGAGAAGCCTCCGGGTTATCTGTTGTGCATGTTTGTGGGCAGGGGTGTCTGGTGTCAGTCTCTTTCAAGCGGTTATTTTCTTGCACAGAGAACACATCTTGCCCTGCAGGGCACATCTTATATCATCTGCTGCAGCTTCATTCCCTCCCAGTGGCCCAGTGAGGCCCTCCTTCTTCCTCACTGAGTCCCTAAGCAGGGTCCTGGCTCTGCTGTTCTTGGCCTCCTCCTGGATGTCCACCTTATCGATACCTTGATGCAAAGCCCACTCAGTGTCATGATGCTGTTGGGATCCTTAGGGCTGCTGGTGGCAGCTCATGCTGTTCTCTCATTAACTCCATTGTCCGCTCCATGTAATTTCATCACAGGGTCTGTCCTTGGGGACTTCACTCCAGGGTGTGAAGGCTGCAATATGACATGGCACTGGAGACACCTATCTTTCCTTTGTCTATCAGACTCCTTTTTCTGAACCCTACAATTCCCACTGACTCCTCCACACTTCTGCTCCAGTTCTTTGGAGAGGTAGGATTGCAAGGGGAGGCTTGGAAAAGGGCTGCCTGCCTCCAGCCCCTCGACTCTTGCAGGCTGAGAAAGTGACTCACCTGGCTATGGTGTGGGGTAAAGGGTTTGGGAAGACAGATGCCACAGACTATATCAGGGATGCCAGATGACCTGGCAGCATCAGCATCAAATAGTCTTGGCATTAGTTGGTGATGAGTGAGTTCCAGGTTGCAAGATTCTCGCAGTGTTGCCCTCACGTGCCACAGCACTCAAGTTCACGCAGTACCAGTAGCTGGATCATCTCTCTTTGTAATGGCAATCAAAAATAACAGCTTCTGTAAAGGACGAGTCATTGCCCAGCGCTGGCTGTCTTCAGATGCTGACACTGCATACTTACACAATTTCACACATGGCAGGCTTGGAGACCCATCCAAGCATCGCAGTTTCAAGGCAGTCTGAGTGCTTGTCTTGAGTTTTGAGACACAGACCCAGTACCAGGACCAACCTGGAGACCAGAGGTAAGATCACTTAGAAAGTCTGGAGCAAGAACTGGACAGGTTATTTTCAGGTGTTTTATCTCCACCATTAAAAAAGAGGTAATTTTGAAATGTTTGGGTGCTGGCACGAGCAAATAAAGCAAAGAGCCCAATAGAAAATCAGAGCAGAAGACCTTTCAGCTTTGAGGTCTTGGGACAAACCCAGGCTTCGCCACTACAAATAAAATTGTTCTTTATAAGTGTCGTGGTTTAACCCCAGCTGGCAACTAAGCACCACACAACCGCTCGCTCACTCCCCCCTGGTGGGCTGGGGGAGAGAACTGGAATAGTAAAAATGAGAAAACTCATGGGTTGAGATAAAGACAGTTTAATAGGTAAAGCAAAAGCTGCGCATGCAAACAAAGGAAAATGAGGAATTAATTCACTACTTCCCATTGTCAGCCAGGTGTTCAGTCATCTCCAGGAAAGCAGGGCCCCATCATGCGTAACAGTGACTTGGGAAGAAAATGTCATCACTCTGAACTTCCCCCACTTCCTTCTTCTTCCCCCAGCTTTATATGCTGAGCATGACATCATATGGTATGGATTATCCCTTTGGTCAGTCAGAGTCAGCTGTCGCAGCCGTGTTCCCTCCCAACTTCTTGTGCACCCCCAGGCTACTCGCTGGTGGGATGGTGTGAGAAGCAGAACAGCCCTTGACTCTGTGTAAGCACTACTCAGCAATAATGAAAACATCCCTGTATTATCAACACTGCTTCCAGCATAAATCCAAAACATAGCCTCGTGCTAGCTTCTATGAAGAAAATTAACTCTACTCCAGCCAAAACCAGCACAAAAAGACACTCTGATTAAAGTCAAAACTCTCCAGAAGTTTAATGAGCTGCTGCTTTGCCTTACAGAATATTGGCAAAAAGATGTCGTGTCAACAGTTCATAGCAAACCTGGATGGGCTGAATGATGGGAAGGACTTTGCAAAGGACTTGCTGAAGGTAATGTGATATAAATAGACAGTGGGATACTGTTGTTATTATTGTAGTGCCACCTAGTCCTGCTGGGACACTCTGAGCCCTTGAATCAGCATTTTCCAGTGCACAATTGTTTCATTAGAAGAATTGTAACCCACATGGTTAGCTTCTGCTAACTCACAGTGAAGCACCAGAGGTCTGTTCCCTGGTGGTGTTTTATCCAGATTTGTGGCATATCTGCCCTCAGAGCATATCGTGGGTCCCTCTCACCCATGGTAGCTCTGTGATGCACAAGACAATGCACAGAAGAAGGTACCCTCAACCCCCAAATATGACCATCTGGCACTGATACTTTTCTCTGCCTTCACTTCCATGTAATTAGATGTAGCGCTCCAACACAACTAGTTCAGTACCATGGGATACTGGTTAAACACCCCAAAGTGAGTACTTTCTCCTTCCATGTGGTTTAATACCACCACTGTTGTCTGCACCTGCTGCAGGTCCAGCAACCTGGCCTGGATTTTGCTGTATGGAAGGAGGTTGAAATGACCAGTGCCACATCAGGGGTGTCACATCGTGCCTTAGACAACAACTCTGCCTCCCAGGAGACCTCACCCTACCCTACCCCTCAGTATGGTCAGGGCCATCTCCACATTCTGCTTTCCTAGCCCATTCCTGCTCCTTCCCCAGTGTCCCAGGGAAGCCACTGGAATTTTGCCCAGGAGGAACTGGAAAAGCTGATCCCCAAGGTCATTCATCTCTCCCCTGCTTCTCAGGCCAGCGTTCAAGCCTCCACTGTCCCTTTCCCCTAGTCAAGACGCTGGAGGTGTCTTGGCATACCATCTTTGCGTAGAGCAGGATTCACTCAGGACTAGGCACAGCACCTGGAATTAGTCAAAAATGTCATATACAGGCTCTTGAGCAAGGCTGGCTGCCAGACCCCCTCTGCTGCTGACGTGTCCAATCCAATACCTAGTGTGGTACATAGATAAAAAAGGGTCTAGCAGGACAGCAATTGTCCTGCTCACTGGTGAATATTTCTCCAGGACAGTTCAGCAAGGAAGGTATCTCTCCAAGAACACAGATGGAGTGTGGAGGAGATGGTCTCCAAAACCCAGACATGTCTTCCATGACAGACACAGCTAATATCATGTTCTTGTTTCAGACACTATATAACTCCATCAAGAATGAGAAGCTGGAGTGGGCCATGTAAGTATATGTTAAGCATTTGAGAGAGAATGTGTCTTTCAAAGTAGCTGGCAGGTCTTGAGTCATGTTTTTAGCCCCAGAAGCTCCCAGAACATTTCCTGCCAAGCCCGTAAGCACTGAAGTCTCTCCTGTAGGCAAGCTGGGTTTATTTATGGCTTAGACACAAAAGCAGACGGGGAGGTTGGTGGCAGTCTACGGACACAGGGTCCACAGGCATGATCTAAAGGAAGGGAATGCCCTCTTTGTTTACTATTACACTTATAAAATCATAGAATCATAGAATCATTTAGGTTGGAAAAGACCTTTAAGATCATCGACTCCAACCATTAACTAAGCACTGCCAAGTCCACCACTAAACCATGTCCTCAAGCACCATGTCTATCTGTATTTTAAATAACTCCAGGGATGGAGACTCAACCACTTCCCTGGGCAGCCTATTCCAGTGCCTGACTACCCTTTTAGTGAAGAATTTTTTCCTAATATCCAATCTAAACTTGCCCTGGTGCAACTTGAGGCCATTTCCTCTTGTCCTACCGCTTGTTACTTGGGAGGAGAGACCGACCCCCACCTTGCTACAACCTCCTTTCAGGTCGTTGTAGAGAGCAATAAGGTCCCCTCAGCCTCCTTTTCTCCAGACTAAACAACCCCAGTTCCCTCAGCTGCTCCTCATAAGACTTGTTCTCTAGACCCTTCACCAGCTTCATTGCCCTTTGGACATGCTCCAGCATCTCAATGTCCTTCTCGAAGTGAGAGGCCCAAAACTGAACACAGTATTCAAGGTGCGGCCTCACCAGTGCATGCAAATGCTGATCCCTCTCCAGGTGCTTCAGAGGTTTGTGCACAATGAGCTCAAGATCTGGGGTTATTTTGGTCACTGAGACTTTCCATCTCTTCTACACAGTTTCTTCCGGAAATAATATCAGAGAATCACTGAGGCGGGAAGGGACCTTGCAAGATCTACAGTCCAGCTTCCTCCTCAAAGTATGGTCAACACTGAATTCAGACCAAGTTGCTCAGGGCTTTGTTCAGTTTAATCCTGAAAATCTCTGAGGATAGAGAACCCACAGTCCCTCTGGATCCATGAACCTATGCTTAATTATTCTGAGAGAGACATTTTTTTCTTAACCATTTGAAACCTCTATTGTGTTGACTTATGCCCACTGTCTCGTCCTCCTGCCGTGCACCATAGTGAAGAGCCTGGCTTTGTTCCCTTGATAACCTCCTCAGACATGTTGGAAGGCTGCCATGAGGTCCCCCAAAGCGATCTCTTCTCCAGGTTGAACCAGTCCAGTTCCCTTAGTCACTTCTTCATTGCAAGTGCTTCAGCCCAGGCATCTTGGTGGCCTCTGCTGAACTCTCTCCACCTTGCTGATGCCCTTTCCTCTATTGGGGGCCCAATGCTGTTTGCTGTATCAAGATATGATGTAAAGGGTGCAGAGTAGAGGAGGATGATCACTTCTCTTAGCCTCCTCACTGTGTCGCTGTTACACAGCCCAGAATGCTCTTGGCCTCTGTTTCTGCCAGGACACACTGGTTGGCTCCTGTTCATCCTGCTGTTCACCAGGAGTCCCAGGGCCTTTTCTGCAGAGCTGCTCCCCAGCCAGTCAGCCCCGGCTGACTCTTCTGCAGGACCACTCCACCCCAGTGCAGTACTGGGGTGCTGCATTTAGTGACGCTCCTGTCCTGCTGAGTGGTGGCCTCCCATTTTTATGTCATCCATAAACTCAGTGAGATGCACTCTGTCTCCTCCACCAGATCATTATTTGTTACCCTGAAACAAGTCTGGGAACAGTTAGCATGGTGGCCTTCATGACAGGTTCACACAGCACCTTCCTCAGCCCTTCTTCCCCTGCTCTGCTACCCACCTCCTGCCCAGAGCACAGGCCAGGACCCTCAATGAGGGGTGCTCTGTGCTCCCCAGCCCCAACACCTCCCCACCACTGCCATGGGGAAGCCCATGACTGACCTGGGGCCTTAAGCTAACACAGTGGACATTTCTTTTCCCCTCCCCTCTTCCCTTCCCTTCCCTTCCCTTCCCTTCCCTTCCCTTCCCTTCCCTTCCCTTCCCTTCCCTTC